AGAATAAAACAAAAAAAAAAAAAAGGAAAGGATAAGTTTAAACAGCCTGAATGTATTTTTCATACTCACAGGTTATCACAAGACATAAGCTTTGACCTTTAACAGTTTTCCATCGTTTTGCAAAAGCAAGGAATATGGGCTCCAGACACCAAGTACACAAACACTGAACATTAACGTGCACAGAACTGCCCAATTAGTTTTAGGCAGCCTGTAACAAATAAATAGTATTTTTACATAGCATGGAAAATGAGCTTGTCACATTTGCTTAGAGTAAGCAAGCCAAATTCAGGAAACAATTTGGTTACAGGCACACAATTAAAAATAATAACCTGGTTTCTCCTGTGACCTTAAATTTCCTTCAACTGTAATCCCTAATGACTGAAGAACTTGAGCCACCCTACAGTAATGTCATTAAGCTCAAACACACAGCTATACTCATGAAAAACTTCATGTCACCCACATCTAAGCAACTAGTTTGTTCTCATGCTGAGCCACATCATTAAATATTCCTAAAGTAAATCCTGGTCAGTGACTGCTGTAAAGATAGTTCCAAACTTTGAGAACTTCACATTTCTTTGCAGATATATTCAGAGCTTCCAGGAACATAGAGTTCTCTTTCTGTGAATCACAAATGCCAACCATATTTGAAGGAGGATCAAATAGTAAAGGAATTGATCAAAAGCAACAAAAAGAATTAAGAATATGAAAATTTTGCATTATTCTTGAAATAAACAGTGGATGTGGCATTTGGAAATTAAATACTCATATTTCACTGATTTCGTAGGAACATTATTAACTTGGCTTACCATTTTCCATCCCCCTTACCACCCAAAACTGGGACACTACTCTCTTTCCCTTTCTCTGGGCATGCACAGGCTCCATCTCTTGAAAGCCAGCCTGAGACACACTTTTTCACACACACTGTTTCCTACGGTCCTTCTGTTCAAGTACTGAGCTCTGTGTTACATTCAAAGACAGCCCAGTTTCCTGAAACCCTGCACAAATATCACTAAGGTCTACCTGAAGCACATACAAGGAAAAGAACACTTTGATCAATAATCCAGATCTAAAGTGTGAATATTTAATATAAGTATTAACTTGCTGAATATGTATCTCTTTAGATCTTCTGTCTGAATTTAATGTTTTTGATAAAAATACTCCAATGTAGAATTGAACCTTCCTGGTGCAAAAACGAGAACTAATTTAGTTGGGAATATGTCTTTTTAGAAACACTGCATTTCTCAGATGAATAACTGAGAAGAGCTAATAATTCTTTAGCTGTAAAAGCTTTATTTAGACACAGTTATATGTGCATTAAAATTGCTTTTGCTAATTTCTGTGGATTTGACCTAGCTTCTTCCATACATTCAGACTCAAGAGCTACAAGTAACAGTGCAACTACTCATTCTCCAGTTTAAATGCTGAACTCCTTGCCATTAATTCCCCTTTATCTAACTGGGTAGGTATTTTCAGAGTTACCACACAACCCACCAGGAACCATTCAGCAAAGTCATTCCATCAGGAGAAGGAGAATGTGGCAACATTCTGTTCCTGAAAAAAACTAAAGCAGCAGAGAGAGGTGAGACACAAAGAAGCACAGATGGCTCCTGGTGGGACAACTCAACCCCCTTAGTGGCAGAGGCCAAGCACCAGTTTCAGCACTTCCACCTGGGGCCCTGTGGAAGTAACGGCGACTTGCTGCAGGACTCTCCAGCCCTGCCCACAGGAGCCTCTCACAGCAGCAGCCCCCTGCAGCCATCGTATCACAGCTCCCCACCATTTCCTTGACTTAGATAAAATGCTGCTCTTGAAACGAAGAAAATTTCTTGTAGAAGTAGCACATTTTCTAAAACATTTTCTAAAAGAAAAAGGGTTGCCTTGTTAAGCTGATTATAATACTTGAACCAGCAAGGGGCAGAAATTTGCCTCAAATTCAGTCGTCAAAATATTCAACCTTCAACACTGACACCATCTTTTACAAACCTAAGCAACTATGGGATGTCATCCAAACTACTTGCAACATTTGATAACATGCAGTAACAAAGTGTCCCTAAGCTAAATACTGCCCTAATTTGCATTGGCACATTGCATTTTCAATTTGTATCGTCATTCACCTCCTCCATAGCAGTATCACATTTTCTTCTCACATTCTTCTCTGTCCTAAAATAAAGTTTCCGCTGCAGTCCAAAGGAATACTTGTTGGAATATCTTTATTCCCAGCTGCTCTTCCCTTAACATATCCACTGCTGTCTTCAATCCCTTCCCACCTCTTCAATACAACACCAACAAAGGGAAGAAGTCAAGACAAAACCAACCCACAGGAAGAAGTTATAAGTACTGGTGGACTTTTAATCTCTTCACGTCTACAGATCTGAACAGGATGCCTTTTGAAAGATGTACTTAAGCAAAATTCAACTCCAGTTTAAAATTAATAGTGGCAGTACTGGCTACTATTTCCAATAGAAATTGATTTGTATTCCTTTACTAGCATGCTGGGAAAAGTCCACCATCACCAAAACCAAAAACAGCTTTTTCACTTCAGATTAGTAATCCTTCAGTACTTAGAAAACTTGAGCGAAAATATTTTTGTTTAGCCCATAAGACAGGAAGAAGTTATAAGTACTGGTGGACTTTTAATCTCTTCACGTCTACAGATCTGAACAGGATGCCTTTTGAAAGATGTACTTAAGCAAAATTCAACTCCAGTTTAAAATTAATAGTGGCAGTACTGGCTACTATTTCCAATAGAAATTGATTTGTATTCCTTTACTAGCATGCTGGGAAAAGTCCACCATCACCAAAACCAAAATTTTTTTTCCCCATAATTATCAAATGATTCCAGCTAAAAGTTACACAGCTCAGATACATATTCAAAAATCTGCCCCAAAATACCGTTTAAAATGTCCATGGGTAGTTTATTAAGCAATGCTTACAGCAGTAAATGTCTGAATCAGAGAAGACATTCACATATACAATAAAGAGTAATTATCGTAATTCTAACTACACACTGTGCCGACAATAGTTGCAAGACCCTGGGCATGTATTTTTCAGTTGGTCTGCTTCATTGCTATTTCAGGAAGCAGCATTTCCTTTAAAAATTCATGCTGTATAATTTCTAGCAGCATTTCACAATTTTAGCACTCAACTTCTAAGAAAATCACTTACCCAAAAACTATGTCATAGTTATAAATACTTCCAACGCGATCTCCCTGCAAGCATTCAGACATAATTTTCAAGGAAACTGTAGCATTTTAGAATTTATAAAACCTATGGATTCACAGAATATTGATTACAACCAGGCAGTTTTAATTCTGAGTATTTGGCTTACTCACCTTCACCCATGAAACTGCTGCAATATATTTAACAAGGCCATAAATCAGTGATTAAGCACAATTAAAACTAAGGGTATTACTGCAGACTTGAATAACCTACTATAAGTATTTAACAAATTATATTTTAGTGAGTAATTTTAAATCATACAGCACCCTAATATTTCTTGAAATACAAGACGATGCATCTCTCTCAGCCATTTCAGGTCTACTCAATCACAAGACAAAGTATGTCTCATTGCAACCTGAATTTGTGCCAGATGCTGAAACCTGAGCCAGTCAGTAATAGTCTTCTAGCCTGCTCACATCCTTCTACACTGTGTGAACCATCAATCCCCCAGAAAGACCTTCATTATAGAACAGCTTAAAATCTAACATTGTTAAACACGAGTTTCAAAGTAGTTCAGGGAACAGCACTTCAGCCACAGAAACACTGAAAAACAGCTTCCCCTCCTAGGACAGCAAATAATGAGATACTTCAGCAGGTACGTCATATAAATCATTATTCGCTGTAATTCAACTAGAAATACATAAGCACATTGTTACTAGGCTGAGAAACCAGGGCACTTACATTCTGTAGGAAGGAGAATTTATAGTAATGTAATGCATATCACAGTATTAACTTTTATTTAATTGAAAAATAAATAACATCTATATTTTCTCTGCTAGAATGCTAAAAAGATACTGCTTATAGATGCAACCAGTGGGCTGATTAGCATAAGGTCATGACAACTGTCCTGTGCTGTTAAATAACACAGAAGCAGATTTAAAATACTAGCTAGAAAAATAAATACTTTGCTTAACAGAAGGCTCCCCTTGCATGCATGTAAGTTCAGAAAAACATCTTGCTGAACCAGATGGCTACTTCACTTGGATCTCTTTACTACAGAGATGCAGTTGCTATACAGCAAAGGATACACAAAAAGTTCACAATATGCATAAACCAAATCTGTTTTATAGAAATACTTAGAAAGCCCCACAGAAGCTACCTTACTCTAACACTGTATTTAAAGATTAAATGAAAGTAACATTTCCCAGAACACCAGGCACAGACAAATCCTGAATTCTAAAGCAACTTGCCAAGGAAATGAAAGATCCACACGAATACTTCTAATAAGCCTTTATAAACACACTTTACAAGAAGAGGGCTCACTCTCTGATACTGGCTCAATTCCTAATAGCAAAGATCCTGTTGAAAGCAAAAACCATGGTTTAAAGGTTATGTGAGTGTAAAGATCCTTTGTTATGCCTTCTATCGGGAGATGTTTTGTCATGTCTTGCAGTTTGGTTCCCAGTGGCACAAACTGTGGCGCAGCATCAAAATTATTACTGAAAGTGGTAGCTACTTAGAGAGGTAAAAGCAAATAAGTGACAAGAATTAAAACTGTCAAAATTTCCCAGGTATTTAAATCATGCTATTAAAAAATTAAAGTGACTACAAGGATACTGTTATGCAAATAAAATTACTTTATGCTAGTAACATAAAATGGTAACAGTGTAAGTCACACTGCTGATCTTTCGGGAGCAATTCTGACCTCTAATACATATGGACAAAACATCTGACTTCAAGCAAATATTCTGCTAAGAGCAGAATTTTCTCTTTTCTCCTCTTCCTTACTTGGAGCATGTCCAATACAAAATCATTAAGACCTTGCTGTGAAGTGCACTTACCGGTGCAGGATTATCTTTAGCTTCCACACCAAAAACATTCCGTCGTTTCACTGTCAGCAAATCAGGATCTTTAGTATCATCATCGTCGTCATAGTCACTTTCAAAGAACTGTATGGAGTCTGGGTTTGGTACCCTGCTTGGTGCAGGAACTTCTTTTTCCTCCTCCTCCTCAGATACCTCTTTTGATTCATCCTCAGACTCACCACTCTCTTCAGCACCTTCACTGGAAGCAGAACATTCCTCAGTTTCCTTCCTTCTCTCCATCGCCTTTGTTTTGCTATTAAAAGACACCTTTCCACTTAAATCCGTTCTGCATTTCTCCACTCCTTCCTCGTTTATCAAGGAGGGATTATTTTTATTTTGCTCTGTCCCATCAGCTGCCTCATTTGCACGCTGCTGCTTCCGAACTTTTTGAAGAAATCTCACACGAGGTGCCATTGCAAGACCAAGTGATCTAAAGCATGAAATAAAACAAACATTAATCTGAAAGGTAGATACACAGATTTTTACTACATTAAAAGCTCTCATTGGCTGCTCAACTGATTTTACTTTAATTATGGAAATTCATATTGGTACATTTTGACTAATGTATTTACAAAGCAGTATTTGGCCTGCAACAGGAGAATCTAGCTTGAAAAATGCAAGAGAGGAAGGAAAATAGAGTAGCTGTGAACTCTCAAGAAGAGTTCCAAATCTTTCCAGGAAAGAAAGCAAACCAAGAACCTGAAAAGCTGTAGACAAGAGCAAATTAACTATGATTTGCAGTGAAATATGTTGAAAGAAACACCAATGTAATTGGTATGGAAGATACACAGATGTAAAGGACAAATACAGTATAGAAAAATGACTAATTGCAGAAAAAGCTAAGGAATGACACTTCTCCCTTCAAGGAAATCTCTCCTGCCTGAATATCTCTACAGCAAGGCTTTACCTTCATGGCATACATAACAAGCAGTGCCAACAGTACCATTATTTTACCCAGTAATTCATGACAATTCAAAGTGACACTAATACTTTATACATTAAGAAAAAAAAATAGTCAAAAAGCAAAAATACTGCATAGCAACAACACTGGAGAGTATTGTATGGGAAAAGATAATCTGCCTCCAACAGATCGCTTGACTTCAGTAAGTTTTGTAATTTCCCAGTATTATTACACCTGACCCTGTCAAATCTAAATGAAAAAAGGCAGTATATTAGTCTCTTTTTGAGTCAATGAGGCCATTCATTAGGTAAATAAAAAATGTAGGGTGACACTGATACTGTGCAAGGAATACAGAGACCACAGCAATGTTTAAAAACACACCAAACAGAACTGGTAGTGTTTATAATACTCCAGGGTTGTACATACACCTAACGAAGGAATTAAGTATTTAATCAGCATATCTAGATGTGTACACACACAGATAAAACAGCAGTCTCTTTTGATTCAGATCATGCAGTTATACACGATCTCTTTCCTCAATGCTGCTCAATTCAAGTAGACAGCATTATGTCTTCTCTTCACCACAAAGCTCTGAATAAAGAAACCTGAGTTATGTCACAGGAGAAAAATCAAGTCTATACTCCCTGGTGGAAATGTCATTAAAAACAGTCCATGAAGCATCCAAATGGTACTACAGAGCAGCAAGAGTGGACTGTAGACCACATGGAGGCTTAAATTGTTAATGGTAGCCAATGGGACTAAGTAGTAAACATGAGAGGCATCATGCTTAAATGACAAACAAACAAAAAACCAAACGCAATCACATCTATGGTTAAAACAAGGCAGCTTTGGTACTGGCCAAGGGTTAAAACACTGAAAAGTTGGCACGCACCCAAAAAAGCAGCTCACTCCATTAGGATGAGAAACAGGCTTTTCAATAAATAGTGTCTTAATTTTAATGCAAAGCTAACTCTAAGTATTTTTTATAACCCTTTAACAGTAATTAACAGCAATAATAAAGAACATAGAATTTTAAGAAAAAAGATCAAAAGAAGTTTTCATCAGTTTTTCATGTGTACCTTGCACATTTATTGAAAGGGCACTGCTGAGAGGATAACACAACACAAACATGAACTTAAATGGGAACTGAAATTGGAGCAACCAGCAATCTTAAACCTGTTTTAGTGCCTGACAGCTCACACTAATTACCTTTGCAATGAAACTATACGTTAAAGTTTGGCCTATTGACTAAATGAAACAAAAATAACCAAACAAAGCAGATGCAATGCTTCATTGCAGCAGCTGGAGGAGAGTCAAACCTGTAATTGGGCCTTAGCACCAGGCATAGTAAACATGTATAAAGAGATGGTTGCAATGTCAATGAATGTGCAATCTCTGGCAAGGGGATCGAAGTAGGGGGGGAGGAGGAAAAACCCTTTGCAAGAGAAGCACTTTCTTGCCTTTCCAGATTTCACATTATTCTACATAAAGTATTGCTGTCAACTGCTGACAAACTACAGCTAGCAGTATTGTAGGGCAACTGAGCAATCTGTGTTCACTTCTCTTTCTCATGCAGACAGACACAAAGTACATAGGGTTGCAAACTCCAATTTTGTCGCAGCTTCTAAGTCTCCAGAGCTAGTATCAAAGATTCCTCTCCACAGGAGAAGATTTAAAACAGTCAAAAAGAGCAGCCCATGATGCAGAGGTGACTTAACCACAGCTTTTCTCAATCAAACATGAAATCCTACTTGCCAGACTGCTGTTCTGCAATGATGCCTAACTTTTATAATCCAATAAAATTAAGGATCAGTTTGCATTCATCCATTTTTCTACATTGCTTAGCAACTCTACCAAAAACGACCAGTGCTATCAGAACTCAAATGACATTTGAACCAGAAGTTTTGGGCCTGTCACTACAAGAAGAACATTAAGGTGCTGGAGCAACTCCAGAGGAGGGCAACGAAGCTGGTGAAATGTCTAGAAGGTCTTACAAGAAGCAGCTGAGGGAACTGAGGTTCTTCAGCCTGGAGAAAAGGAGGCTGAGGGGAGACTTTATTGCTGTCTATAACTACCTGGAAGGAGGTTGTAGGGAGGTGGAGGTCGGTTTCTTCTCCCAGGAAACAAGTGATAGGCAAACAGCCTCAAGTTGCTCCAAGGGAGGTTTAGAATGGGTAAGAGGCAAACTTTCTTTACTGAAAGGGTTGTCAGGGACTGGAACAGACTGCCCAGGGAAGTGGCTGAGTCACCATTCTTGGAAATATTTAAAAGACAAGCAGGCAATGAAACTATACGTTAAAGTTTGGCCTATTGACTAAATGAAACAAAAATAACCAAACAAAGCAGATGCAATGCTTCATTGCAGCAGCTGGAGGAGAGTCAAACCTGTAATTGGGCCTTAGCACCAGGCATAGTAAACATGTATAAAGAGATGGTTGCAATGTCAATGAATGTGCAATCTCTGGCAAGGGGATCGAAGTAGGGGGGGAGGAGGAAAAACCCTTTGCAAGAGAAGCACTTTCTTGCCTTTCCAGATTTCACATTATTCTACATAAAGTATTGCTGTCAACTGCTGACAAACTACAGCTAGCAGTATTGTAGGGCAACTGAGCAATCTGTGTTCACTTCTCTTTCTCATGCAGACAGACACAAAGTACATAGGGTTGCAAACTCCAATTTTGTCGCAGCTTCTAAGTCTCCAGAGCTAGTATCAAAGATTCCTCTCCACAGGAGAAGATTTAAAACAGTCAAAAAGAGCAGCCCATGATGCAGAGGTGACTTAACCACAGCTTTTCTCAATCAAACATGAAATCCTACTTGCCAGACTGCTGTTCTGCAATGATGCCTAACTTTTATAATCCAATAAAATTAAGGATCAGTTTGCATTCATCCATTTTTCTACATTGCTTAGCAACTCTACCAAAAACGACCAGTGCTATCAGAACTCAAATGACATTTGAACCAGAAGTTTTGGGCCTGTCACTACAAGAAGAACATTAAGGTGCTGGAGCAACTCCAGAGGAGGGCAACGAAGCTGGTGAAATGTCTAGAAGGTCTTACAAGAAGCAGCTGAGGGAACTGAGGTTCTTCAGCCTGGAGAAAAGGAGGCTGAGGGGAGACTTTATTGCTGTCTATAACTACCTGGAAGGAGGTTGTAGGGAGGTGGAGGTCGGTTTCTTCTCCCAGGAAACAAGTGATAGGCAAACAGCCTCAAGTTGCTCCAAGGGAGGTTTAGAATGGGTAAGAGGCAAACTTTCTTTACTGAAAGGGTTGTCAGGGACTGGAACAGACTGCCCAGGGAAGTGGCTGAGTCACCATTCTTGGAAATATTTAAAAGACAAGCAGATGTGGTGCTTAGGAACATGGTTCAGTGGTGAACTTGGCAGGGCTGTGCTAACAATTGGACTCGATGATCTTAAAGGTCGTTACCAACCGAAGTAATTCTATAATACAGACCTCAGACCTGGGGGAAAGGGAAGGTGTTAAGATATTTGGTTAGAAAGTAATAGTAGATAAGCTTAAACAAAGTTGTGTACAGACAATCCCCAAACACTTCTAATTGCCTAGCTTCTCAAAGATATGTCTGCATTTTGGCTGTTACTGCCCCTTTTCCATAGTATACTCCCAACAGAACACTTAGGGACAAATACATTCTACTACTGCAAATGTTTCCATATAATATGAGATCCAAGTTTGTTTTGACTTTATTCTTAATCAAATCTAGAGTTCAGTCGTACTAAAAAATCTTGAATACATGAACCAGTGTTTTTTTCCATCAACTAGAAAGGGCAATATTAGTTTTCATTAATTCATGAGATGCCACTCAGAACAGAATCATACTGTGATCGAAGTTACACATACTTTTTGATTCTAGTGCTAGTATTTCACACACTCTTTTGGAATAAGAAATGTGCAAGATTTTCTCATAAAGACAGAGAAAACATAGGTAAGTTTTTTGTGAGATTTCATGAACTCTAACATGAACACAGAACACTAAAAACATGCTAGCACCACAATGTAGCCCTCAGACTACAGTAGCCTTTAAAAGCAACACAAGTTCAGCTTATAAACAAGAAAATAATCCTCTTTCGTATTTTGGTGTGAAATGAAATGACTTTTTGGGAGCAAGCTCTTATAGAAAGACATTTGACATCAGCTTCTAAAAGCAATACTGAAGGCAATGGATTATTTCGCTGCTACAAATGAAAGTACAGTTGATAGTTTTATTCATCAAGAAACTTGGGTGGCCAGACACCATAATTCCCTAACACTGCACAGGGAATGTGTAGAAGTAACAGAACACCTGCAATTCACAGGTAGGTCCTTCAATTCAAAGCAAGCTGACAAAGACTTTTTGGGAAATTAAAGAGCAAAACTCCGAAGAAATAACAATATGTGGCTTTACAAAGAGTATCTTTCTTGTTTGTTATTGAATAAGGAAAATAAATATTAGTATGCATTTTTAAATTTAAGTCAAATGAATGGCATAAGACACTTAAAATACTGCCTTTTCTGAGGTTCATTATGCCTATACAAAAATCTTGAGTATGTTTACATTAACACAGTAACTTCACTATGCCTCCATTTGGACTGGATGAAAAGCTGGGCATCTCTCAACTCTTTAAAGAGATGGAAGCTTAGACACTCAGAGTAAAATCTGTCCTTGCACAAAACAAATTAAACAGGACACTTAAGTGCAATATTTTAATTTTTAAGTGTCACAAGAGTTGCTAATCTGCAACTAGAAGATTTGTAGTCTTGTTTGAAACATGAGCCAGTTGTAAAGAACCTGCAGTCACTTCTGCCGAACTGCTGCACAACAATTTCACACAAGTTAGTGCTTTGTTCTACTATTAAGTTACTATACTTACTAAATATAAGACATAATGACTTCTCCGGAATTATTTGAACACATTAAAACATGGCACAGTGATTTATTTTACTATAGAATAAGTTCAGACAAAGATTTAAAATAGCCTGAGAAAGGTTAAATACTCCCAGAAGCTATTTCAAGAGGAGAAACGCACATTACTTGCCTCACAATATATGCTATATCTACTTTAACATTTAAAATGCTTTCAGAAGACAGGATGAGCAACAATTTGAAAACAGGAGAAATCAAATCAACTGAAGTGACACATATCTGAATTAACAGGCTTTCCAGATGGTCTGACTAATAATCAAAATGAATAGAGAACTTGCTTTTGCTGTGTTATTTATTTTACTAGCCAGCTCTATCCTTCTAAATTAAAGAGCTTAAATGCATGATACTCTACTAATAATGAGGGCCAAGCTAACCAAGAGTTTATGGGTCAGGATCAAAGAGAAAACCAAAATGGATGTCATGGTTGAAATTAAATCACTTAGAAGACTGAGATGTAGGCTTCTTTACAAAACTAATAGGAGCATCCACGTTGCAGTTGCAGGCCCTGGTATTCTTGATACCTGAGCTACCTTGGCACCTGCTCAAAGGGCAACACAGCAGAACGCAAGCAATGGAGATTTCTAGACTGCATTAAAGACCATTTGTCCAAGTTTGCTGGATTAGCCAACTCTGAAAGACACTCTACTGGAACTGCAACTCATGCATATGCAAGTACATTTACTTCTAAGGTGAGTGAAGGTCAATAGCAGGCTTGGCTGTAAAAATGAGAAAAGGCAATTCAAGATCCAAGAAGAAATGAGGATGATGACTAAGAAAATAATGACCCTGGACTTGGAGAGAAGAGACTGAAGCTTTTTCAGAGATCTGTATGGCAAGATCAGAAAGCTCAGAATATTACAGAAAAGCTACAGAAAGCTCAGAAAGGGATGACTGGATATCCATGTGGTTGAGGGGGAGCTGCATGAAAAATGCCCAAACTCTGCAGAATATTAGAGTGAACAATGAGGTCCATATGAATAATATTACCTGAGGCTGAGATTAACTAGGTAAGAGCATGAGAAATATTAAGCCTGGTTACAGGTGTATGAAGACTAGAAGCAACTGGAAAAAAACAATTAGAAGCAGGCTTTTTAGTTGGAAGGATACTGGGGTGTAGAAAAGGGAGTACAGGGCAGCAAGGAGGGCCAGAACCAGCTGAGGGATGATGAGATGTGCAAAGCCTGTGATGGGTGCTGCCTGGGGTTATGGTGGGCAGCCCTGCACGTGCTCACGGGCAGCTAAAGGAAGGTAACTAGCAAAACCCTCTGCCCTGACTATGCAGTAAGGGTCTAGCCTACATCCATAGCCAAGGGGAGTGGGGTGAGAGTGCAGTGGCTGCTTTCCCTGGTCAGTAAGATGACAGACAGATGTGGACAGATGGATCATGTATCCTGGTATCACCCACTTCAGACCTGACAGCACCTGCTGCTACCTGTTGCTTTGTGACACTGATCTGTAAAGGAACACATGGAAAATTAGCTGGATACTAAGTTGTGTGTATCAGACGTTTCCAAATAACTTGGCTTCAACTTGCTTTATTTATTCTCAATGTGCCAATACAGGGATAAACAGAGAAAAATAAGCTACATTCCTCCTGCAAGACATAAAAAAATTCACAGATTAATTATCTTGCCTGGCAAGCCCTTAGAGCTATGATTAACCCGTCCATCCAGTGCACTCACCTGTTAAGAACTGTACCTGGAGACTGATACATAGACACATATGTTAGCATTTAAGAAAATAAAGTGCCTGAGAAGTACAGTATTTCAAATCCCTGCCTCCTCTTTACCCTTGTCTCCTATGCAGGAGGCTGGACTAACTAATTATTCCTTTCTGCCCTGCTGCTTGTTTACATTTTCTTATGTTTTCAAAGCTGCCCTTTGTAATGAAAAGATACATTTATTTTTTATGCAAGCATCAAAGTTCTCCTGCACCAAACTTAAAGACTGCCAATGTTAACACAAGGTCTCTGCAAGTCTTCAGCAAATTATTCTCCATAGCAATTTGAAAGGAGAGGATACTGGAGGGAATACTAATGTACTATAGCTTAAAGGTGATCAATCTCTAAAATACTTGTGTATACACACACACAAATTTTTAATTGTCATATTGGTTTTTTTATATATGGAATAATTCTACATAATACATAAAAATAAAAAAAAAACAACACCTGCTTTTCTTCAGACTCTATCAATGGCATTTAAAAGAATTTCAGTGCAGAATTTCAGAGCAAGAATGCAATGGAGAAAGTGGGCAACAGCCTGACAGAATGAAAGGCAAACCTGACAGGGGCATTAAGCAGCTTATTTTCTCTGCAGAAGTTTTAGTGGAGTAACATCTATCAAGCAAGCAGTAAATCTTCCCAGAAAGGCTGAAATACTTTTGGAGAACATACATCAAAGGTAAAGGGAAGAAAGAATTCTCATTCCAGGTTTTGCCACAAGTTTGCACACACAACTTAAACCAAGGTTTTTTCTCAATGCAGAATTCAAACATTCCAGACTTTGAGGGCCGTTCAGATAAATTAAGCTGACTGATCCACTGGATCAGTGGATGTGCCCTGAATTCAAAGCCAGGGGACTGCAGGGTGCATTTAGGTATACTACCAGTCCAGAGAGAGGATGAGGAAGGCCAACAAACTGTTCATTTAGAGCAGAATCTCCAAGCTATCTCCCAGATTTCTTACCTTTTGACTTTTTGATTATGCTTCTATGTATTTCATAGTCTTGACTAAACCCCTCCTACTCTCTACAAACAACTGTCTGATTTCTTACATTTTAATACACAAATGAGTTACTAGTAACTTTGCAAAGCTGCAATTAGAAACGATACCAATGAGGGGCCAAAGCCTGGCACAGAGGCCTAAGAACAGAACTGTAGATCATTCTGTTCACATCAGTATCAGATCCTAATTGGCACACTATGCTGAAATCCAGAAAGAGGCACGGGGATTCCAAAAGTTCAGCATTACCATAATCTGTCAGTTGGTTTCTCAACACACTGGTTAAATTCATGTGGTCATCACTCTTAGTCCTAATCTTCTGCCACTACTTCTTCCATTCAGCATGGTAAGACATACAATAAAAGATGCTGTCAAATCACACAGCTGAAGGGACAGGCAATATATGTAGTGACATTTTTCAAGATTCTGCTAGTTTTCCTTTTTAAAAATTTCTCAGATCATAATGTAAGAAAACATTTTTTATAATAGGCTTATATGACTTAAAAACATGTTAACTGCAGCACAGCACAGGAAGACCAGGTGTTCTACAGCTTAGTAATTTGTCACGTTTTAGTTCATTATGCCATGTGCTGACAAGTTTGAAGACCTAAGTCTTCTCTGTATGAAATTTCACAGACACAAAATTAATTTACCATTCATCTTTCAACACCTTCAACACCTTCCTGCTCCCTTCTGAATACCTGATGTCCCAAGAGATTATTAAAAAAAATTCACATCTTAAAACAATCTCAGGTGCTTGTCAGCTGTAAAGTCAATCTGTCAAAATTAATTTCACTCCTATACAAAATATGGAATAGTTCACAGTTATGTACAAAAACAGACAAAGGAAAATAGATGTTATCCAGTCCAGATGCTTCATCTTTACCAAGAGCACTGAAGCTTCTGAAAAATAATTTATGTCTAAGGAGCAATGTTCCAATCACACTCAAAACGAGACTGCAAGATACTCCAGATTCTTTTTAAATAATACACTTTACAGGTTGGCAAAAAAAAATAATAATAAAATAATCCCACAACATCTATTGTTCTCTATCCTTTTACTTCAGAAGTGTTGTCTCCTATCGTATACAGCAGAGTTACCTTCTATCTTATTACCTATCTTGCAGCTATAAGAGTTATACAGTTTTTTACATGTAATTTCTATTTAGAATGTCTTTGAAAATACGCAAAAGCACAGCACAAATATGAAACTGTAAATACACTACAAGACTATCCAATTCTGTGTGTTAACACAGGCAAAACAGCTATTTAAAGCTATCATATACTGCAAAACTACTCACTATACAGTTTTCACTTTCCAAGTTGACCATACTTACAGGGCATATTCTGCAAGAGGCAATTTGAAGACATCAAATACTTCCTTATTCTTCATTAAGTAAACTGAGCGCAAGTAGGACACAAAACACTGAAAGAAAAATAGAAGTATTTAACACCAAAAAAAAGAAACCATTGCATTACCAACAACATGCAATTAACATTCTACTGTTGCTCTAAACACAAAACAGAATTTCACTATTAAGTGGTCTAACACTGATTTCAGACTGTAACTCCTTTACACAATACCCATCAAACAAAACTTATGAGTACTACAGAAGTGATGCAACCTCAAGTATTCAAGTTTGTCATTAAATGCACATTAATTGGCTGAATTTCCCAATAGTCATGTTATTTTCCCTAGGAAAAAAAAAAATATAGCAAATTAGTCAGAAGGAAACATCATTGATTCAATTTTTTCTTTCTCCTAGCTCTTCTGAATGTTGCCATGCTATTCTGATACCTTAATGTCCAGGTTTAAGCCAGGATGAAGCCACTTTTCATTTTACTAATTTTTTTTTTTTCCTTCAGCAAGTGTTCCAGCTTGGATCGATAACAAATGCAAGAATGTTTTTGGAACTGCTAGGACTCCAAGGTCACATTTTTGCTCTGCCAGCTCAGACACTACAGGGAGATCTAGGAGCCCCCCATAGGCGGCTGAGTTAGACAGGCATAAAAAATGGCCAGAGATATTTCATTCCATATATCTACATAAGCTCAGAGGAAGGTCAGAGATCACAGAAGACAACTTCCTTCCTGCTTCTTCTTCCTTTCTCTTCCATCCATGGTGGGTGTCCAGGGAGGACTCCATCCATCCATCACCACCAACCCCCAGGCTCAAGCTCTTCTGAACCCTCATCACTCTGCGCTCTCTCCGGCAGCTCCAGGACTTGTCGGGGCTGTTGGCAGCTCAGGAGATGCCAGGGGAGTTGCTGCGGGTGGGGGGAGGCAAGAGGGGGTTGCACATACCTGAACATATTTGTATATAATTGTATATATTTTCTTTCATCATTAGTGTTTAATTAAAGCTGTCCAGTTCGGTTTTCAATCCAGCAAAGTCTCTTTCTCATTCTCTCTCTCCTTCCCTACCTGGGTGGGAGGGGGAGGGGATCGAGAGCGTTGTTGTCAATCCTGAGTCAAACGGTGACACTGAATTACGTGGAAGCAAGAACAGACTCTTTCTATCAATCTGAGGTGTCCTGACTTAATCTTAGCCACTAACAGAAAGTAATTTAACTCAGCATAGCTTCCTTTCACTGTGGCCTAAGATAATTCATATTACCTTGCATTTGCCATCACCTCATCACATACAGTCAATGAATGCAACTCAGATGACCCACAGAAATTCACTCTAATGCATCTACTAAAGTCAGTCCAAGGTTGAAGTTTCAATTAATCCCAAACTCTCACCAAGAAAACTGGAAACACTTCATAACATTATAACTTACTCTTGTGTTGCATTTTCCCTTCAATCTCCCTTTAAATACTAAAACACACACAAGTCAACTTAGGTACTGTTTTGACAGAATCCAAAGTAATGGAGCACAACTAGAATCTCAGGCTGTAATACTCTGCACGTCTCTCTGGGTGAGATGAAGAATTTAGTGGGCAGATACCACTTCAGTGTCCCAGTACCCCCTACACTATAAAATTCAAAATAGCAAGAAAAACACATTATTTTTAAAACTGTTTTTCAGAGCTGAATGAATTGACATATTGAACATTAAAATTACAAGAAATGTCAAAAGGTACCATCAGATCATAAGAGAAACTGCAAAGGTTTCAAAGGAGCCCCAATCTGAGCCATGCTCTCTCTTCCAAAGCAGCAGCAGAGGAACTATGTCCTATCAAATGAACCATGAAGTTTGCTGAAGGAATTAGTAATCAAGAATTATTTTTCTTAGTATTTTCTTTTTAAAGTAAAAGTGTCTTGAAGTAAATCAACAAGCTCAGAGGAGGCAATCACTTAGATCTCATGCCCTCTACACAAGTAAAATACATCCTACCTGAACCTCTGTGCACAGCTGTGCTGTTTCACTGCTTTCTGATCCATTCAGGAAGGGAATTCATTTCTTATAAACATCAAGAATTTGGCAGCTTGCAACAGACAGGCTAGAACAGCATGACACCCATGCCTTGGAGAAATTCAACATTCCAGACAAGGACCCAACACCGGGATTTCATTTGCATTATGTTATTGCTTTATTTAGACTGACATGTGAGATTACTGAGGCACATTTGCACAGTATGCCTGAACACTCATGCTTAAATTTTATTAAGGAGGGACATTTATTTGATAAATCACTTGTCCATACCTCAAAATTGCAACAAAAATGGCTTGAAAAGGTAATTAAAGGGCAATTATTTTTTTTTCAAAATTTCTTTTTTATCTGCAACACTAACAGACAGCCCACGTTTTATTTTATTCTTGTGCTATTTTGAACCTTTATCATTGTTTTATTTTACCCAATTCTGAATTATCTTTCTCTGCCTTTTAAGAGTTCTTAAAAAGCCAAAGAAAGAAACAAGAATTAGTACTTTCATTCCAAGTAAGATGGTATTGGCTTCCTCCTACTCTCGTCCTCCCTCAACCAGATGCTCTGTCACTTCTGATACCAATTGGTGTAACTGCAACTTCCTGTGGCAGTTGCAGATGATCACAATATGTCACTAGTACATCTGGCCTGAGCAACACTGGGATGAAGCTTACGCTGACACTCCACATGCTACAAGTAATACTTTGTGAACTACAAAAACCTGGGATACCTAAATGCCAAAAATAGCTTTCAGAGTAGTCCCTTGAACATAGCCTTAGACATTTTTATTCACAAAGCTCCCACTGATTTCCTCAAGCACTTTGATATAAGGCTCCTTGCTTAGGAAAGAAAGAATGACATTCCTCTGACCCAGTGTCTCTACTGCAGGCTTCTCAGCTAGAGCACATCACACAGGCTACCTCTGCAGTGCAAACACAGGGCCATTCATCCATCTCAAAGAGTTTATAAGGTATCTGCGTCAGGATGAATCCTAGAAGTGCCTATTCATCACTATCAGCTATAAATAAAAGCTCAGACAGACTAGTTCACCTTGCCTCATTTTACATCCAACCCAGTTTAACAGAAAGGCTACAACTCTTAGTCTCTCTTTAGGCATTCATGATCCTCTTTTTATTTTATGCTACCACTCTGGCTTATGAGAATATCTTCAGGTGCCACCAATCTCCACATTAGCTCTGACAAATAAAATGTTATTTAGAGTAATCCAGAATTTCTGCAATTTTGCATTTCTCAGGCTTTGGCCTTTCTGCAGTTCTGACCATGTGGCCTTTGGTAGTGCTCGTTAAATTTGACCTATACGTATAGCAAAAAATTACCCAAAAGATTTTCTTATTATTGTTCCAATCATTTTGTTTCCCTTGCATCTCAATTTGAACTCCTGTATAGTCTAGAAGAGGGTACAACTCAGCTCACAATATCCACACAGTTTAATAACAAACAAAGCAGCCAACTAACCTCAGAAAACCAACATGTTGCAGCACTTCAATAATACAAGTAGTGAGCTCTATCCCAAAGAGTTCATTGTCTAAAAACATTGTTAAACCAGTGTGAGGTCAGCAAACATGTCTAGTGATGGCAAGAGGCAGCATAATGCCGAGTTTCATGGGCCACCATCCAGGACAATCATCTCTTACAACCAGCTTATTCTAGTCCAGAAATCTACCTAGTAATTTTAAGTTTTCCTTTTACCACTGAGAAAGGACAAACTGTGGTATATATTCAGGAGATAGAGTGAAAAAAAAAGGATTAAGAAAGTGGGCACGTAAGTCACAGAATCATCATATAATCATAGAATGGTTTGAATTGGGAGGGACCTTAAAGATCATCTAGTTCCAACCCCCCTGCATTGGGCAGGGACACTTCCCACTAAACCAGGTTGCTCAAAGCCTGGTCCAACCTGGTCTTGAACACTTCCAAGAACTCCCTGGGCAGCGTGTTCCAGTGTCTCACTACTCTCCCTCTAAAGAATTTCCTCCTAATGTCATCTAACCTAAATATCCCCTCTTCCAGTTTTGATCCATTATCCCTTTTCCTCTCACTACTAGCCCTTCTAAAAAGCCCCTCCCCAGCTTTCTTGTAGCCCCTTCAGGTACTGGAAGACTGCTATGAGGTTTTCCCAGAGTCTTGTCTTCTCCAGGCTGTACAAGCCCAAATTCTCTCAGCTTCTTCATGTAAGGTGAGGAGCACCAGCCCTCTGATCACCTTTGTAGCCCTTCTCTAGACTTTTCCCCATGACCTCCATGTCCTTCTTATGTTGGGGGCTCCAGAACTGGACACTGTACACCAGGTGGGGTCTCACAAGGGCTGAGTAAAGGGGAAGAATAACTTCCCTGCTCCTTGTGGCCACACTTCTTTTGATGCAGCCCAGGACACAGTTGGCTTTCCGGGCTGCAAGCGCATATTGAACCCTACATGGTTTCATTTTTTATGACTTCTTGAGCCAAGGAACAAAACATGCTACCACTCTGTCATCTTTTTTCTTTATTTTTATTATTTTTAAATGTTCACCATCAACTTCCCAAGAAGAATCCTCTCAGGAAGAACTACCAATTTACCTCTTCACTTCAATCCAAAGGGTTTCTGAAAAGGGTACACAGTCCTGTTCTTCTTCATGCTCCCAAGGATACATGATGAAAGAAGATATATTTGTACTGATTTAACAGCATTACACTTAACTGAAACACAGAATAGTTAACCTAGTCCACAACCTGCTCAAAGCAAGGTCAGATAGAAGAGGCTACTAAGGAACATGCTCAGTTTTTAAAATTCAACAATAGAGACTGCACAGCCTCTCCATGGAACTGGTTCTCTTGTTCAACCACAGAATAGACTTTTTTTCTTGGGTTTAAATGGAGGTTTTTTTGTACAGAAACTTGTGCCCACTGCCTCCTCCCGTGTTACTGGGCACCACTCAGAAGAATGGCTCAGACTAATTTATACTTCTCTCCTAACAGAAGAGATACTGCAAATCCTTTTCGCTTCTTTATTGGTCTTGCCTCCAGTATGTCCATGTCTTGTACTGGAAGCCCAGAATCAAGCTCTGCACTCTACAAGTGTCTCACCAGGACTGAGCAGAGGGGAAGGAAAGGACCACCCACCTCCCCTGACTTGCCAGCAACCCTCTGCCTAAGCCACCCAGACTGTGGTTGTCTTCTTTGCTGTAAGGCACATTGTTGGCTCATGTTCAGCCTGTTGTCCACTAGGACAACCTGTTGCTCCAAGTCTTTTCCTGTAAAGCTGCTTTCCAGACATTTTGTTCCATCCTGTACTAGTGTATGGGGTTCAACCATGGCAGGTTCAGGTTGCAGACAGCTGGGAGAGACTCAGACAAAACTGAGAAACAGTGACTTCTAAATAAAAAAATTACTCTCACACCTATCACTCTAAAATAACTGTGACCTCACCTAAGCCTTAATTTTGGCACAACAGGAGGCCACGTGGCTCTTCAGGCATGAGTATCATGAGTATCATGTGGAATCCAAGTCAACTCACACAGACTATACAGGCATATTTACTGCCAACTGCTAATACATTATTATGGTTTCTACTGATACAATATTTTATAGCTTAAAAACCAGAAGCATACAGTACTTCCAAACACTGCTGCTAGGGCACATATGAACACGTCAGTTATTCCAACAGCAGTTCTATTCAACTAGCACACCTCAAGAACTATAGTGAAGCAGATAACTTACCCTTTGGGCTTTGTCTTTTAGCTCCTGATCTTGAGCTAAGAAAGCCTGCATCCTCTTTTGAATGTCTGTAAGTTTTTCAGGATTAATTCTAATTTAAAAAAAAAATAATAAAGTTAGCTTTAAGTATTAGAACATCTAAAAATAAGCACCTATTAAGTTTTCAGGATTGTCTTCACATCTTTTGCATTGCTTTAATATGCATAAAGTTATTACCACTCTGAAACAGCTTAGAATGGAACCATATTATGAATGAAGCATACAATCCTCAAACAAATAATATAGAAAAGACAAATGGGAGCTCAGACTTTTTATCCAGAGACAGCTTTCAGTGAAGGTGGTGAAGCTTATTCCAAAGGTTGGAAGGGACCTTAAAGATCATCAAGTTCCAACCGCCCTGCCATGAGCAGGGAACCTGACCACTAGACCAGGTTGCACAAAAAAAACTTCATCCAACCTGGCATTAAAAACCTCCAAGGATGGGGCATCAACAACCTCCCTGGGCATCCCATTCCAGTTCCTCAGCACCCTCATAGTGAAGAATTTCTTCCTAATATCTAACCTACAACTCCCCTCTCTGTTTAAAACCCTTACCTCTTGTCTTATCACTATCTTCTCTGATGAAAAGCCCCTCCCCAGCTTTCCTGTAGCCCCTTTCAAGTACTGGAAAGCCACTATGTGCCCAGGTCTTTTCTTACTCACTTCTGGTTTTGATCTCATAGTTCCACCCAAGTTTATCATACAACCTACCAAACATGGCAGGAGGTTACCCCTCCAGTAGAGCTCAAAAGGAATGTACAACTATCAGATCTTTTAATCTGGTTCTTGCTGCTGTATGCCATGTGTCATTCCATAGTGTACAACAAAACAGTCTTTTCTGAAGGAAGTTGGGGGGAAAGAAGAGAAAGAGTCATGCCTCTTCACATAGCAGCAAGTTGGTCTAAAAACATGACAGATTACAATACTAGGCAAGAAACATTTTATATTCATTTTCTGTAACATAAGCCATTATGATCACCTATTATTCTTACTAAATATGAAAGCAGCAATTAAACAAGGAGTTGGAGAGTACTGCCAAGGAATACTTAAAATTATAAAGACATCAAGCTTTATTCCCTCACCATTTCAATTTCTTATCTCTGTCAGACACAGCCAGTGGGAAACTGTTGTGCACAGAAGAGCTATTTAGCTACAGTTTTAGTGAAGATCAAAAAACTGAGTTCCAGTTTCAAGCCAGCCAACATAATTTGCACTGAAACTGTAAAGGCATATGAAAGAAAAGAAGAGGCATGAAAAATTCAGTGGGGGACAAACTGACCAACAAGCCTTTGAAATGCAATGCAGAATGGAATGCACACAAGATACCAAAGATGGAAAAAGTAAACAGAAGGTTCTTCTGAATTTTATTCTATAAAATAAGATTGACAAGGTGACAATGAAAGCATATATGACCCTAACAAAAGAAAAATGGTAGAACAGCAAAATGGAAGCAGTGACTTGCTTTATAACAAATTGTGTTAGAATGAACAAACACAAAGTACACTACCTCACTACAGAGGAAAGACAGGAGGAAGTGTAACAAGTCTGGCTAGATGAAATCAACAAATTTACAGTGACCTGAAACTCAAGAGGAAAACTTAAAAGTAGAACTAAAGAAAAATTAAAAGAAAAGCACAGATACACTGGGATAAAATAAGAATTACAAACACAAAATGAAATACAAAAAGTAAACAAAGGATAGAATTCATAACAAAAATATTAAAAATTAACATGAACACTGGTAGTAAGACAGGCCAGAAAAGTGCTGCATTGCTGTTAAGTTACAGAAAAGCTACTAAGAGATGATTTCACACCAGTGTCTTTTTTTCTTGTCTTGACTCGAAGTAGCAGCTGCAATCACACAGCTAACAACAGATACAGCAGTCCAAGCTCATCCCAGAATCTCAAATCCCAGAAAAACAGGTGCTTGGATAAATAAGCTGGGTCAAAATAAATTTGCTCCTTAGCAACTACAGAGAAAGTCAAAGCACTTTTGAGTCATAGTTGTATCTATTCTTAAGAACTCATTTGAGATAGATCAAAACCTGACAGAGAACAGTTAAAACACAGTGCTCATTTTCAAAGAGGTAAAAAGTTAAACAATTAATTTTTTACCCCTGATACTGAAAAAAACAATTCATAAGCACCTAAAGAAAAAAGCAAACACACAAGGGCCAACATAGCTTAGTCAGAAGCAAAACATGACTGGTTGGATTATCCTTCACAGTAGCAGGTTTTAAGAATAGGAAAGCAACAGCTCATGTCATATCTGATGTCAGCAAAGCACCTGGCAGTAGCATGTTCTCAGAAGCTAGGGAAACATTCTACACAAAATCTTTAAGTAAATGCAAAACTGGCCTTGGAGCTGCACTCAAAGAGCAGGAGGGACTGTCAACTGCTCGTTGTCACTGTCAAACGCCAAATGCATCCCAAGTCTCACCTGGGCCTGCTATTATGCATTATTTTCCAGGAGTTTATTACTGTAGGAATATAATCCATTTTTTACAGGAGACAACATCACTGGGGCTTCAACACAATGAACAATAATCTTAACCAAGATATAACAACATTTTGACTGCACATAAATTTTGGGTTGAGTAATTTGGTTGAAATTTGCAAGAATAAGGTTTGAAAAAGACAGAGGACACAAGATACTTTACAGATGAAAGCACAGCAAGATAATGTGCTGTAAATCTAAGCAATGTCAGCCAAAAATTTGGTGCCCCAAGAACATTTTGAGATTATGTGTCTGTTAATGAATTACTATATTTGCATTACTGCATTTTTAAAAAATAATTGTAATACTGTGTCATGACAACCACCCATTGTCATCTTTGTCTCATGCTGGGATTTCAACAATAAGAAAGCTGGCCATTGTTAAATTGGGTTTTGGTTTAAATGAGTTTGCATGTTACTTCTTTCTGAACAAATAAAACTCTACAATAATTATATACATGACTATTTGCAGAGAGAGACAAACCTAACATCTAAACACTTAAATTATCATAATTCATAAGCTTGCCTAAACAGCTCAGAACCAGTGAGCTAGAACCAACTATGCAAAGACTAGAAGGGGATTTTATGACATTGTCATAAAATTGTACTTATTACTGTATGTTTCACATCTTTTCTTGCTCTGTTGGAAGTATGAGAGATGTATTGTTAAAAGCACTACCTATAAATTGGCAGACTGTGCTGCTCAGAAAGGAATGGCATACTAACAGGTGCTTTGAGGAAGCTTAGGTTGAAAACTGAAAGAAAACAGCCCAAACTCTAGCCTTTTGAAGAAGAAAGAAGTTATCTTGTCTGCTTTCAAATTACAGAACTGTTTTAAAAGCTTTGCATAAATGAAATAACAAAATGTTAAGAGCCATTTCTAAGTCAGAAAATATAAAACAAGGAAAGTAAAAGAAAACTGGTTCTTTATATCCCTAAATTAGACAACAGGTTAACAAGAACAGCAAAACATACACTTTAACTGGCAATGATGTTTTAGAAACAAATGGCTTTCTGAAGACATTTCAGAAGCTTGAAGAGTTCAACTCTGTTAGCAGCAACCAATTGTTCTTTTCCTTCCAATTCACAATTTATATCAATTCTTGAGAATCTATAATTAGGTAAATACACTTAAACACCTGAAAACCAAGAACATGATTTATGGGTTGATGAAACTTTAACAAATTATCAACTGCTAAAACACACCAGAGTTGTATTATTTGGGAAACTGACGAGAAGTACAGAACCCAAGAAAATGTGTAGTTAAATATTTTTAGGATAAAACCAGTTTGCCATTCAAAAGTAATAACAATCCTTTTTTAATGGATTTTAGTTATTCTCTTAGAGGTGTGCTGAACCAGGTAAGCCTTAACCACAGTAGGTAGATACATTCTAAGTAAACACATTCCCCTTCATTAAGGCAAATGCTAAGGTATGCTTTGCAGATTGAAAAACAGGACCTCAAGGCAAGCTGTTAAAATATATTATCCATCAAAATCTCTAACTTTGCTTATAATGATTCCAGGCAAGAACATTGCCTAAATGTATTTATTATACATATCCCCCACTGGTGTGGTAAAAGAATGAATTTTTGGGGTGGTGTTTAAAAAAAACTAACACACGTAGCTGCAATGCATGCTGTTATTGACTTTAAAATAGAAAAAGCTAATTAACTGAAAACAATTCTAATTTGGAAAATTTTAATAGTAAGCCCTAAAGTATGTGTTATTTCTTAACAAGTTTGGACATAAATGTATATGGAAAGTATAATGAAAACCAGACAACCATGTAAATTGTGGCAACTTCTTACTACCCTCTGTTACATTAGAATTCAAAGAATACAATATAGTTAATTTTAGGCAGACCTGGAAGTTTAAGCAATGAGGTAATAATAACCACTTAAGGATTCACACTATTTTGATTTCTTCTCAAAAACAATTATCCCACAAACACTTCCTTCATACACTTGACTATCTTCTTTGCTTAGATATCCTAAGTATTCAAAATGGAGTCAGGTTCATACATACTTTCTGGCTTGCTTACAATTCCTCCATATTTCCTTCACATTCTGTTTCCTCTTTTAAATTAGCATTAGACTGACAGGCTCAAAGAACAATTAACTCATTCCTACCTATTAGCTGCTAATTCTTTTTAGTGGTGTGGGGTTTTTTCTGTTATTTTTGCATTTAAGATTTTTTTCTTTTCCACATTACTCTTCATTTAATAGAAACTGGAAATACAAGGGTTTTTTTATTTTTACACGGTATTATTAATACACTTTGTATTCCTTGCAATGTCAGTTCTCTTTTGTACAGACAGCAAAGATTCTACAGGTCTCCATTGGTATATTCCATCTAGTATGTAAAGTGACCATTTAGCCACATTTTTATTACCTATTCTTCAACTAACTGTTTCAGAAAGATCATGACAAATTGAAGAAACAGTCTAGAACTAAAGAAGTACAATAAAAGGTATAAAAATATACAAGGACTGATTTAAGAAATTGTAATTGTGTAATCTGCAAAAGAGAAAGATCACAGAATCACAGAATATTAGGGTTTGGAAGGGACCTCCAAAGATCATCAAGTCTAACCCGCCTGCCAGAGCAGGACCAAAAAAACAAAAACAAAAACAACAACAACAACTAGGGCAGATCACTCAGAAAGGCATCCAGACAGGTCTTGAAAGTCTCCAGAGAAGGAGACTCCACAACCTCTCTGGGCAGCCTGTTCCACTGCTCTGTAACCCTCACAGCAACCTAAACTCTCATGTTTAGGTGGAACTTCCTGCGCTTGAGTTTGAATCCATTGCCCCTCGTCCTGTCACAGGGCACAAGTGAAAAGAGCTTGTCCCTGCCTTCTTAATGCCCAGTCCTCATGTATTTATAGACATTAATTAGATCCCCCCTCAGTTTTCTCCTCTCTAGACTGAAATGATAATGTTCAATTACACAAAAAGTAGTTGCAAAGAGTAAGAGAATACATAATTTTCCATATATTCTTGGCACAGGAAAAAAGAAATATTTCACTTAAATTACTTACAAGGCTTATCAGACACTTGAAGAAAAAAATGGTTAAAGGCAGGAACTGCTGAGTACAGATGAGATCACTTTGGGAAATTGTGAAGATATTCACTGGCAACCTAGACAAGCATCTGACAAGACTGATTTGTGCAGCAGATCCGGCCTTTAGGAAAGGGGATGGACTAAGTAACATCTGAAGATCTTTTCCTTCTACAACACTTATCAAAATCGCCCTTGTTTGTCCAGCTCCAGGCAATTCAAGAACTTTACTTCACCAGTTTTGTTCACAGACTTACACACATTGTTCCTATAGAAAGAAGGCTGAATAACAGACAACCTATTAGTCACTTACTTGATTTCACTGACAGGCACTTTCCTCTGCGCCAGCTGTTCCACCATGCCTTTTTCTTCTGAGGGAAGCAATACTAACAAAGCTTCACCACCTTCTTTGTATCTGATCGGGGAGGGAGGGGAAAACAAACAAATAAATAAACAAACATGAGAGCACCCAAACAAATATGTAAAAATACAACTTTTTATTGACATTTTCAATAACCAAAAAGAACGTATATTTGCTTCCTTGTAAGCAAAGAGCAGACAAAAATTGTCACTTTAAAACAGAAAAGTCAAAACCAGTTAAGTGACTTGCGAATATCTCCACTTGAGCTGAGTTCAAAACTACACCTAGATCCCCAAAGACTAAGATTCCGATCAGTGGATCTTTTTTTCCCTAGATTAGAACTATTCCTGTAATAATCAAATGGCACTTCATCAAAACTTATAATACTAGAAGATCCAGCTACCTGCATTCATCCTTTGCCAATAGGCAAGCCTTAACACCCGGTAACAACCAATTCTCCTTCGCACATCCTACACGTGAAAGGAGGTAAAGGCTAGGAAAAGCTAAGTGCTTTGATCCCAAACAACTCCCACTTGTATGTTCAGTAAAGGCTACTTTTCTAATAGGTCACAGAGGCATCACTGAAAGAAAAGCATTTTAAAAAAAATTTATTTCATGTACAGAAGTAATTTTTAGTTACAAAAAGAAAAAACTACCATCAAACTGATCCATAAGAACATATTCAGTATTCCATGAACTTAACAGCTGTATCAAATGTAGCTGGGTGAAGAGACATGGTTGGCAAAGAAATAAAAATTCTTCTTTTTTATTCTTAAAGCATCATGATATACACTTCCTTTTCATGTAAGAAAATGTCACCTCACCAGGCTGCCATGACCTCTCAAATATGACGGACAGAGGCTTAGCAATTTCATCCCCCAGCTCCCTCAGGACCCATGGGTGAATCCCATCAGGTCCCACAGATTTATGTACCTTCAGGTTCTTCAGACGGTCACAAACCTGCTCTACACCTATGGTGGGGGGTAATTCACTCTCTCAGTCCCTTCTTTCACCTGCTGTGGCCTTTGTGTTGAGGTTGGAGTACTCGCCAGAGATAACTGAAGCAAAGAAGTCATTGAGGACCTCAGCCTTCTCAATATCCTGTGTTGCTACCTCACCCGTTCCCTTCAGGAGAGGGCCTACATTGTCCTTGGATGTCCTTTTCTCCCCAGCATACCTAAAGAAGCTTTTCTTGTTGTTCTTAACATTCTTGGCAAGAATTAATTCTAGCAGGGATATGGCTCTCCTCATCTGATCCCTAGCTGCTCAGACAACCTCTCTGTAATCCTCCCAGGATACCTGCCCTAGCTTCCACCCCCTTTATGCTTCCTTCTTCAGTTTGAGCTTTTCCATGTGTTAGCTTGTTACTCTGTCACAAATTCTCCTGTTGGGTCTTTACCCCAATTGCATTAACTCTTCCACACTGGAAGAACCATCAAGGAAAGTACATTATACAAACAGTATAAACTGTCAGCAGAAAGGTGGGAGATGTAATTAGTTTGTCTTTGTGTCAGAGATGACAGAGAAAAGCCTATGCCAGGGTAGGTGACATTTTTCCAATAAAAGCTTAGCAATGACAGAACAAAACACCAGCTCAGTCTTTGTGCATTGAAAAGGGGCCATAAGTGCTATTTAAGGAAGTATTAGAGACAAGACTCATTTACTTAAGAGAGCTTTTAAGCTGGAGGTGAGAGTGAGGAGAAGGATGTTCTCAGACACACCAAACAAGAGTCATACCATTAACTGATACTCAGATGGATTATAGGGAGCCTACATTTTTCCAAGTCTAAACAGTTATCACTTGGCAAAAACATTACTGCAGAACTGTTTGAAAACTATAAACACTATCTGTCACAGCATACTAAGCAATGCAACTGGCAACAAAATCTGCAGTTAAAACAGTCTGACAGCTTTTATCACAGCTCTCTGCTTTCATGTGATAAATTTGAAAAAAAAAAAAAATCACAACCAAATGCTCTCAGATGCTTTATTTTTTGTCCAGTACTACAGATGATGGGTTTAAGTATTGACTTTTAAAGATAATTTTTAAATATTCAATAAATGTTTTCCCAATAAGATTTTAACCCTTACATTCTAGATTTTGAAATTTTACATGGAAGTCAAACTGATACAAAGAGGAGAGTCTTTGCCACATACCAATGCTACGTAAATTTACTGGGGTTTTACGGTTTGGTAAGAGTACCAAATGAAATGTTAGACATTTGGACTTTATCCCAAAAAATACTGCTTTAGGGTTGTGGGTAAAGAAGGGATACAAAAAACTATACTAACTTCCTTTTAAAATGTTCTAAATACCAGCTGGTAGAAATCTTTCTTAAATAGTTCTGAAGCAACCCATTCACTTTGTTTAAGGCAATTTATAACCTTTATGAACAGCACAGGAGGACCCAAGTCATTGCTGACCAAACATTCCAGCAGTGTTTGGGCCCTTTATATAATAAAGGCTGGTAATGTCTTGCTTACATAGACAAAGCATACCTTGTACAAAAGTTCTGTGTATTTTAACCCAGCCAAATTTCAGATAATGGGCCAAAGTGGGGTGCACGTCAGACATTGCCACTGCTTGAACAAGCACTGAAATCCTTGAAAGCCACTGAACCTTAGAGGACTTTGCATTTTATGGCAAAAATTCATTATCACTGTTCCAAGACAGCTAATTACTCATCAAAAGAACCTGAGCTCTCAGAGCACTGCTGGAAACAAGGATGAAAATATTCTCTTTTATCTACCCAAGGTTTGTACCAGACAGGAAGACAGAGATAAAATTGCTGCCAACATCAGTCTCACCGATTTAGAGTACAAAATAACACACAGATCTGCTCTTCTCTTCAAAACAGATGCTACAAAAGGAAAGGATTCCAAAAAGAGCCATGAGAATGATCCAATATCTGGAAAAAATGTCTGTTTAGTCTCTTAATGAGAATCCTCCACATTTGTCAAGCCGACAAAAAAAGCCTTGATCACACTATATAAACACCTACAAAGGATGATTTTTGCAGATTCCCTAAATCTAGGCAAAGGTATAAAGTGACTTGTGTAGATTTGTTGCATCTGGCATTTCTTATTCTGTCGTGCATAACTTGGCATTCTTAAACTGTTGCTTTATTATAAATATTTCATTCAGTGTGCAATACCCTATGAAAGACCAGTGCTATACGTATTATTCAATAAATACTCAGCAAGGGTCAGAGAGTGCAGATATCTTCTCTGCAAGCGACAAATCAGGAAATATTTTACATTAGGGTTTTTTCATAGCTTCACTCTCAAAACAGGATGTAGGATCAGATGAATCTTCAATCTCATCCTTGAAAGATACTCTTGTGTTATTAGTGCTAAACACATCATATGCTGAGTCAGTTACCTCTTCAGAAAGAACAAATTCAGGAGATGTAATTCTAAAGGCACATTCCATAAATCATCCACAAAAATAAAACAAGAGTTAAATCAGGTATCTATGGCAAACAACTCATTCAGTGTTACATTAAGTCTTGCAAAGCCTTTATACAAAGAAAATAGTACTACAGATACGTAAGGAAACAACTACATAAAAATAGATAAAGAAGAAACAGATTTCCAAACACCTACACTTTCTCATCTCTTGGCAACTACTGGAGGGTAAGCAACATTTAAAATATTTCTCAGTGCTCATGCCTTCAGAAATTGAAAGGGACTGAAACACATCTGGTAACCATTGATGCAGCATGATCTTTTCCTTACCTATTTTGGAAACATTCACTCTCTTACGTGCCAATATTTTAAACCTACCTGAAGTAAAATAGAAAGTCTTAGCCGATTTTACATTCTAAGCAAAATTCATTTATTTAAAACAATTTATTACTAACACTGTTCTTCAGAACTAAACATGAAAATGAAATCATTAAAGAACTGAGAAAGCTGAAAACCAGTCTTAAGTTCCATCTGGGGTTTGTATCTGGTCAGTGTGTCCAATGGGTGCCTAGTTAAAGAAAGTAAAATGCAAGCCCATAAAAAACGAATTTTACTTGGGCAGAGTGGTATCTCATTTCACAAAAAAAGAGCAATGTGGTAATGTCCTAGTAAAAAAATTACAGGCTTAAAAGATAACCTCAAAAGAAGAGGTTGCAGTGGAAAATTTAAGTCTTCAAAAGTGTTTTCTCTCTTTCATTCTAAAAGCTTCTATACTGGCAAACTTATGAAAGCACAAGCTACTAAAACCTGGTATAAACCATAAAAAAAGAAGCCTTCAATCTGCTCAAAATGTGTTTACATTACAAAGCCCAAAATATGGAAGAAAAGAACATTCCTAGGTATACTAAGGGAATAAAGTTCTCCACTAAAATAATATTTCTGTATATATTTTCAGTAGACAAATAAAACCTTTGAACCTTCATAGGTGATAAAGAATCAAAGAGACAATCTCAGCTACTGAAGTTCTTCAGAAAGAGGACTACTTCTGCAGATGAGAAAACATTAGAAGTTTTCCTCATTCCTGTGGACTGCAGCCTTCAAGTTGTCCATCATCATCAAATCCAAACAGCTGTCCTAAAAGGCTAATTCACTCTGGTGATTTATCATACACTAAGTATGCACCTCAACTGTGCTGGAGAAAAGCAAATTAAAAACCACAAAGTAATAAAACTTTCTTGGACTGTGTGGTAATTAATGATATTACTTACCTTGTCATCTCCTCAAGGTATCAAAAAAACAGAGCAGGGACTCATGGACTCATTTCTGCATTGCAATTTTAACTGTCTGTTATAATACCAGATATAATTCATTCCAGTTCTTTTGGAAAATTGCATCTTACTTGCCAAAAGCCCTTGATTAAAAAAAATTCACACACTTGTAGCTCTAGTTTTATTTCTGGCTGTATTTCTTCTCGTCTTATTTTCTAGAGTCTATTGGCTTCAATACTTATTAAAAGGCAAGTAACTTCTTGTAACTCAATCTTGACTTATAAGCAAGGAAGCTGTGATAAATCATCATTAGGACTATGAAGCAAGGAGTAGAAACAAGTGTCAGGAGGATGGAGCCAGGCTCTTCTCAGTGATGTC